GGGGGGGGGGGCACTGGCATCTCGCAGGTTTTCAGAGAAACTAAGTAACAAAGAACTGATGGCTGAGTCACACGGACCCGCAGCCGCTTTCTCCAAAGGCGGTATCCGGTCCTCTTGCTATTTCATCCTGGCTGTTTTCAGAAAGGTACAGTGCCCACCTTGCAGCTCCAATCCTGATGCATGGATGGATGGATGGATGGATGTCCATTCATCTTTCGCTTTCAGAGGCCTTGGTGGTTCAGCCTTGGTTCTGGGCGCTAAGTGAAATTTCTCGGCCCAATTAGAAGACAGTTTGTGATGAGCATGGAATCATAGGAACTTGCTGTGATACTAACCCCTCCCCCCCCACCAGCCCCTTGTCATGTGATTCCCCCCCCCCCCCAATCAACACACTTCTTCTCAGAGGGAGCAACTCAGTAGGTGAGTTTGGGAAGCCTCGCCGTTGAGCCCACGCAGACGGTAAGCATTAAAAAAAGAAACAGGAGAGAACTGGAGGTGTGTGTGGAGTATGTACATTTATACACGTACTTGGTGCTGTGGTCGCATGCTGGTCAGGGAGGGGGCACGAGGGGATTGGGGGGGGGGGCTTCTCATTACGCCCGAGCCTGGGGAGCACCGTCTGAGGCAACAAGACCAACGCCATTTTGAGGTTACGGCAGGAAGGGGTGAGACCAGGTGCGCAGATACAAGGCGCTATATAAACACCATCACCCTGTACCGAGATCCTCGGCCTTTCTGACTCTAGCCCGGGACGTGGATTGTTCTAGAAGCGGAGACATTGCTCCCCATACTCATGCATAAGCGTAATTTAGAAAAGAGCTAAATTAGAAGAGTGTTAATAAGGAAATCATGGGGCAAGTCAATGACGGGGGTGTCATATCCACAGGCACCTCGCGATGGCGCTCTCCAGAGCTGCTGCTTAGTAAGGGTCCAGATCCACATCTGAGTCCCCCCATGTGCAGCATCAGGTGTGAGACACACGCTCCCCAGGCTCAGGCCCCACCCCACGCTGATCTGTTCGTGCTGGTGTCGTGCGGGAGGGCCCGGTTCTAAGGTTCTGGGTGTAAAGGGCGAGCCTGACTGTGGTTTTGGGAAGTACATTAGCATGTAGCGCTATGAGGCTATAAGGAGTAACTGTGGCCTGTGGTTGTGGGGGGGGGGAGTTTCAGGAAAGCATGGGAGTGGGGGGGACGTGGCCCCCTCCCCACATGCGGTCAGCTACCTGAGAGCAAATTGCAAACATGGCTGTCATTGACCCCCGCCCCAAATCACACCCCCTGGAGTCCCAGCCAATGAGAACAGAGTCCAGGAAAAGCAGCAAGGAAAGATGACCCCTCCCCCTACCCCCAGTTCAGGCCAGTCCAGCCCTCAGCTCCGGTGTTGCAGTCCATCTCACAGCGGCAGGGGGAGGGGTGGCAGGAGTGAATCCTATGGACACCCCCCTCAGAGCAGGTGACACTGCATTTGTGACACCAGCATGAAGAGGGTGGCAGCCAGCAAGAGCAGCATGGAGGTGGGGGCAATGGTGTGGGGCGCATCTGAATTCCCCGATGGGATGCGGACCGTGGGGGGGCGCCGGGGGCTCTCTAGAGGGGGGTCCTTCCTGCGGGACGTCCCCTTGCTGTGGAAGGTGTCAATGTCGTCCTCGTCCTCTGTGGAGGTAAAAACAGTAGGCCAGTCAGAGGGTGATGGAGGCGAGGGGTCACTCCAGTCCCGCTTCTGCTCCACCCATGGGGCTGTGGGCTAGGTGGACTCCCCCCTGTCCATCGGGGGGGCAGGGGGGAGATTATCCTGGATTAGACAGGATTATCGGCACCACAGTCCCTATGCTTGGTAGCACTTTAGTCCTGAATTCACACTCCATTTGAACACGCAGCAATCAAACGAGCTTAATCACCTGGGGGGCAGGGAAGAGGTGAACACTCCCCAGTCCACTCTAACCAGTGAGAAATGATACACAACCAGCACCTGAGTGTCAGCACTAGTGGTGGGTCATCAGTATTTACAGAGGAAAGTAAGTCCTGCTTTATCAGTAAATAAAGTATTTAAGCGTAGATACGTGTTAAGAGCTTATTACTGCTCCCTTTTCATGTGATCAGGCCGTATTTAAGGCCAAGACTTATAGAACGTTCCAGATCATCTCACTCAGGTTTCGTAAGCAGGGACCTCCATGGCATCTCACCACAGATGCAGTGCACAGATGCCTATCTATCTCCTGCCACAGCTCAGCATGGCTCGCTAACGACCGACAGATGACTGTCAAAGAGCCCTTAGTACAGCCTGCACATGTGTGCGCGTGTCAGAGGCGTGTGTGTGTCAGCGGGCAGCTGACTCTGATGCAGGGACCACTTGGACTAGTGCAAAAGGTTGTATTTCAGAGTTGGGGGGGCCAGATGCATGCCTCTGCTGTTTGTCACTGGGGAGGTTATAATTTGATTGAGGGTTCAGGGGGCTGATGGGAAGGAGATGGAAAGAGATTTCTGATTGAGAATGATAGTGCATGCTCCCTGTATGTGTGTGTGTGTGTGTGT